TTTGAAAGATATCTGCAAGTGGAAATGGTGATATATAGTCAATGAAAAGTTAAGGCACTTGCGTGTTAACATGCAAACTAACTCATTTTGAAGTTTAATCTCAGCTTCAATTACGAGTGAGAGCAGATTCGAGGCATTGCAGATTTCTGGAATTTGGCCTAGTGGGAGGAAGAATATGGTTGAAAAGGTGTTGGCATAAACTGAAGTTCTGCGTCATATGGTAGTGTTAAAATGCCAAAACGTTTCCACAAGGCAAAGCAGACAGGTAATGGGGGGGGGGGAGGGAGGAGGGGGTTAAGATCAGATACCCATTAAGTTTTATTGCAGTGTTAGTGTTGTCACAACACACCAAATGCGGTTTTAGTACCAGATGACAACAGAGTCGACGAAAATAAATTTTTTTTCTTGGCGAAGAAATATTATAAACAGTATGCCTTGAAGAAATTCCTCTAATAACATTTGAACAGGCTGGAAAAGTTTGCAGTAAAGTTTCATAATTGATTGCAGAAGGTTAAGCTTGCAATAAAAAATGAAAATATATATTCACGTGTGTCAAATATACTTAAAAAAAGTTAAAAAGATAAAATTAATTTTTGAATTCTATTGACGCAAACGACTCTGTAACTCTAAGGGGAGAGGTAACTTTGAGATTTCAGTCATAATTCGGGTATCTTAATGTGATTTGTGGCATTTTATCCATAGTGGTTTACAATAGTTAATAATTCCGATTATTTAATGTAACCCCCAGAATATTTAGAATATAATTATCTGTGTGAATGCGGGAACGTGGTTACCAGAATAAGATGTGTGACTTAAAAACCATTTTTCAATTCAGAATTGATTTTTACGTTGTATATATATATATATATATATTACTGAAGGAAATTTTCATGGGAGTGTTTCTTCACTTTATTATTATTATATTTCATAAAAGATGCATATCAAAATGATATTTTGAAAGGAGGGTATTTAGCTTTTACCTTTACTGAGTGGATAATACAGGAAAATTCATGGACTTGAATTCTAAAATGGGAGATTTTGAAATACTTCAGTTATGTCTTAAAATCCTGAGCCGTAAAGACGGTTTTCATTGAGTTAAAATTTTCAAGAACAAAGGTTTGACTTATTATAAAACTGTATTAGCTCGCGAGGTTCCAAATAAAGTAGTGAATCGGTAATCGATAAATTTGAAAAAAAATGATTTGTGTTACCACTGACAGTACCTGTGAGTTTTATTCGATGTGTATGTTAAACGTAGTTTTTCTTCTTTTATGATAAATGAATAATTAATTAGGAATTTTTCTGATACCTAATCTATCGGAAATGGTTTAGAAGAATTTTGGAGCAAAATATTAAATGAGGGTGAATATGAGTTGTACCTGTTTGATACTTTCCCAGATATAAGCAGATCCTAAAAAGTTTGATCAAATATCAGTTTACAATCATTATTGATTAAATTGTCAGTCATGTTATCAGCAAAGCATAAATCTTTCAAGCAATTTAATTTAAGCGGAAAGGTAATCGAGGAGTGCCTTGCAAAATTCAACACAAGAAGTTTATTTTTTATTTAAATTCCGAATAATTAAAGGTCAACTTTGATGCTTAAATCCAACTTTAAAGATAAACTCAAATTGACTTCCCCCATGCCACTTAATATTTTAAGTGTGTAGATTCTTAAAAGGATTTATTTAATGAAATATTGCGTGCAGTCGATATAGGTGATTTCCCTGGAAAACTTTCTCAAAGCCATTTTACATTGAAGCCAACCCCCAAAAATAATGCATCTATGCTTTGAATTAAGGAGGGATAACAATGACTATCATTGTTGCATTGAAAGGAGTAATTATTTTTTCAGTAATAAGAACAAATTTTCCAATATGTGCTAATCATGGGTGAAGTTTTGAAAAATAACACCTGCTTAAATAGAGTCATCAACCAAGCTTATTTACCCTTGAAAGAGGCCAATCGTTGACTGAGACGACTTAAATGCAGAGCGTAGGCCTCAACTTCCGCTACCGAGACCCGACACCGTCGATTAAGGGCATCGATTCTCATCTCCTCAATACATGCGTCTAGATCGGCAAGCCAGGCTTCAATCTCTTCATATCCCATCTTGTAGTCATCAATTTGGTTGTCCAACAATAGCTGCACCGTTCTAAGAGGCGTAGCGCCCTTGGGCTGGGCAGTTGTGAGAAGTTCCTAGGAATTTGGAAAGGGGATATAGAAGGTGTCCTTTACCGATAAAGAGTAGTGGCTCTCCGCTACTTTACGTTTTCGCTTTCTCCTCATTCGTTATAAACCCTAGTTAGTGGAATTCATGAGAAAATAGCTTCATGTGGTACAACAGAGACAATAAAATAATTTTGTTTCAGGATCACTTTCTCAGTTAAATTAAGAGGTTATGGAAAGGAAGTGATAATAACTGGATTAAGCAACATGAATACCCCATGCAAGACGCTCATTCAAGTTGATTCCATTTTGTTTTGCTCTAAGACATAGGAATTTTCATAAATAATTACATTACGAATAAATTTACTATTTAATAGTTTCCTTGATTTCTTTATTGATATGCAATTATTAATTTTTTAGAAATAATATCTTGGTTTGATTATTTATGTCTTATGTTAAGACAATGGGTAAATATGACATCTGAGTCAGTTGTTGTTGCAGTACTCAAAAACGAAGGAATGGATGTCAAAGATACAAACATATTGCGTTCAATATGGCTCATCATATTTCCAATTTGTAAATTAAAAATAGATCGATTATGGAACGAGGGAGAGAAAAGGTCTGATTCTGGATGAGAAATGCAATTCATAATGCCCTAATGTTACAAAGTATACATTTGGGATTTAAACCTTAGGTTTCTGAGTGAATTCGATGTTAAGCCATCTGAAGTTCATAGATATTTTGTCAATCGATTGAAAAGCAATAGATAAACTGGCAGAGAAATGCTTTTCTGTTCACGTTAAGTGAACTTTAGATGTCATGTCAAAACCAAAACAGGCTGCAACTTGCCGAAAACACTCGTTGTTAAATGATTGGACCATTGTCAAACCAATCATATTCCTCCTCCGTAAAAATGGAAGTCTAATAATTCATCAAGCCTTCTCAGGCCAATCAATGTGTACTGTACAAATAGTTTTCAAATTGCAACAATGAATAGGATCTGGTCTGAATACTAGTTTAGTCTCTGTCTTTTCTCCCCTTTTCTGTGTTCTGGGCAATTGAGCACACTTATGTTTCTGTGGGCTCTACCACACAGAATAGAGGTACTTCCAAAGCTAATGCAATCCTGATAACCGAAAATTCATATTTATATCGATATGATCGGACAGATTAACATATTATGGATCATTTAATTGCTAGATAGGTAAAGAAATATCGTTATAGAAATAGTGTATAAATATAGCCATTCCCTCTAGATTTATTTCCTAACTGTTTCGTATTTTCTTTTAGTTAGTGTACTAATTTACTTTGTGAAGTCGTTTTAACCGTTAATATAACGACCCGAGTGCATAATTTATAGGGAAAACAATTTCTCGACCAGTCAAAGAAGGCGCTTATCAATGCCCTATGAAATAAAGCATAAATGATTATATCTGATCTCCCTTCAAATGTCAGGCGAAATATGAAAAAAACGCTTAAGATGTCTATATGTGAAACACCCTAGCATGCACACAGTATAAAATAGGCAATTTATTCATATTTTTTGATTGCACAAATCTTATCACATTTCGACTACTGAATAGGCATGCCAAGGTAAGCAAAATTTGTTTTCATGGAACTTCACGCGATAGCCTATCTAATTCGAGTATTTCGTGTGCACATACAGAAATTTCTTTTACAACGGAGTTGGATAGACTCTGCATTTGACGCGTATTGGCTGCATGGGTTTCTCGGAGTGATTGGAGGTCCAGACGCAGTTCTTTCAGCTCCTTGTGCGCGGAGAGAAGACGGTGGCGTTTTGAAGAATCCGGGGAAAGTGGGGCTGCGAAATGTGAAATATGTTCTTGGGAGTTGGAGCAGTGATTGGAGTCATTGTTTTTGGCTTAAAGTTAAATGAAACGTTATCTATAAGTTTAACAATTTAGGGGAAATAAAGCTAGCAGACTTCAAGGTCAATCAGTTTAAAAGATGGAACAGTGCCGTTTTCCATTGCTCATAAGTGATTTTGAACGTCAAGAGTGATTTTACGATAATTCGTATAACTTCTGCTTCCAAATACCGACATCAAATGAAAGTACCAAATGATAGTCACCTAAACTGGGCTGTGGTTTTAGTGAGTACTTTGCGAAGGGCTAATTACAGCTTAGAAATCCGTATTTATCAAATATGATCACTTTTTCCTATTTGACACCTTAATTATATAATGAAATAGTAAAACTTATTACAATAATGCTATTTCACTAAGAAGGCACAAAAATTGCCATACATCTTCATAATTGTGGCTTCAGAAATACCGGACGTAACATGAAGTTGAACACAGAAACCTATATTCAACGCGTTTAATTTCTTTTCAGAAACGAAACGTCGTGGATAAGCGACAAGGTCTACCAAGGTGAAAGGGCCCAATTATATCTGCTTGACTTCTTCAGGAAATCAAACACCTCTCCAGAACAAATGCGCTCACTGGCCCTTGAGACAATCAATGTCAACTATCCTGCATATCAATAGCTCCAATTCTTCACTTATGGATCATACATTAGAAAACCAAGCAAACACATTGGTGCAGGTGTCTTTTCTGAACTCTTCTCTTTCTACGCAGCAGCGGGACACAATAGATCAGCTTTTGAAGGAGAAATAGAGACCATTAGGATAGCACTATGCCAATTATGTTGCCTGGATACGAAATTCACCAAAGCGGTGATACTTTCGGACTCACAGTCAGCAATAAACTCAATTGGAAACAGAAAGACACCCAAAACAGCTGACATAAAGGAATGTAGAAAACTCTATCAGCTACTGAGAGAGAAAAACAAAACAGTGGTCCTACAATGGATTCCTGATCACTGTGGCATTAAAGGCAATGAGATTGCTGACACACTTGCTAAGAATGGGATAACGATTTTGCAATGCATGGACCGGCTGATGTCTTTCCACACAATGAAGGCCTTAATCAGGAGAGAATTCCATACTTCAAGGTGCAACGAACGCAAAGCTCGAACAAAGGAGAAACAGTGGACAGTGTCACTCTCCGATATAGCCGACTGGCCAAGAATCGAAGCCGTTGCTGAATTTAGACTACGTACCGGACACGATTGTTTGGCAA